ATAATAAAGAGGAATAAGGATAATGATAATGATAATGATAATGATAATGATAGTGATAATGATATTAGTAAAGAAATTGGGGTTGTCACTAGAAGAAATTCAAGAAAATTAATCAAATATGAAGAAATCAATAATATTAATAGTAGTAATAATGGTAACGATTATAAAAGTATTAAAGATATTAAGAAATGGTTTTCTGAATTAAATGTTGATATGGAACAGGCAAATATATAAATATATACACAACTCATAATCATTATTGATTATTAATTATCAATTTTTATTTTATTTTTTTTTAGGTTGTAGATATTGTACAAGAATTAATCATATTATATGATTTTTGGAGCGAATATGAAGAAGACAAGTCATATTCTGAAATTGATGGCATTTTGAAAAAATTAAATAAAAATTAGTCAATTAATTTATTATTGAAAGATTAGATTTTTCTTTGATTGCAATTGGTAAGAATAATGCAGCAACTGCAATAACGTATGGTGGATATGATAAACATAAATCTGTTCTATATGTATCATTTATTATATAAGATGCCATTTTAACATCTTCATGTTTTGTTCCAAAATCTTTTGAAATTTGAATAAGTGAACGATAGGGATGAAAAACTACCATATTAAAATTCAACTCTTCTAATAAATAAAATTCCATTTCTGCTACTTTTTGATTGTCATAAGTAAATCCATCTTTTTTTTTTAGAAATTTATGAATTTAGAATTAATATTTTCTGGAAAAAAACATTAAATAATAAAACCATAAATTATCTTTCATACTTATTTTAAGTCCTCTTGTCTCAGCAATAACCGTCTTAATATGAAGTGGAAATTCTTCAATTTTACTTGCTAAATACATACACGCTGTCAATACTAACATTGGCTCAGTATTTCTATATGAATTTCTATAATTAATCATCAAAGAAAAAAATCAATAAACCATTTCAGTCTCTTTAGCACAAACAAAAAAATTTTTAGTATATAAATAAAATGTATGCATGCAGGAACAATGTGATTATATTATTAATATTTACTTTACATAAAATCTTTTAAAGTATGTAATTGCTGTTGATATGATAACCTGTCTTACATTTAATCGCCTACCAAGTTCTGTCATTACTAAAGATCATCATCATATTAATATTAAATAATTGTTGTTTTTTATGCAACATTATAATTAATTGCTTACCATAAGCAAACCATATATTTAATTTATACAATTCACTTTGACTTATATATTTTAAATCTTCTTGTCTACTATCCAAAAGTTGCTGTTTGCTAAGTAACCAATTATGACTAGAAAGAATTTTAAATTGTTTAGAAAGAGAATTGCACTAATTATTACATTAATTATAGGTGAAATATTTACCAATGTGTAGAAGCCCAAAAATTTGCTGCCATTGTATCAATAAAATTTTATAAATGGGGGCTGTTCTAGGAAAACACGGGTTAGAACTGATTTTTTTTTTTTGAGATATTTGCAAAAACAATTTTTC